TTTCTTCCCCTCCTGAGTCCCAGGCTAAATAGTCTCCAGTGCTGGGGTCTTCTGGAAAGGAAAGAACAATGGAGCTGGGAGGGAAGGACTTCAAAAGAAGGTGACATTTCTCCAGAGGGAGCTGGCATATGCAAGGCTTCTGCTATGTACCAAGCACTTGGACATGCCAGCTATGGGCTCCCCTCCAGAAACCTGTAGTTGCTGCTATTCTCCAGATAGTTCTTGTTCCCTGCCTTCCATGAGCAAGGGAAGAAATTAGGTGTATTCATAAGAAATCAGGTGGAGCCATGTGAATGTGATTTTCTGTGGCCAATGAAATGTAAGTAGAAGTAATGAATGTCAGAGCAGGAAGAAACTTTCAGAGCTAGTGAGTGAGTCACCATATCCCCTTTTTCCTGCTTCAATGATCCTGGGAATATGGAGTTCTAGAGTAAATATGACATGTGTGAGCTCCCAGCCAATACATGATGTAAAGCGTGGCAGAGGAAAAAAAAAACTTGGTTGTTTTAAGCCATGACAGTTTTAATACTCCAGCAAAACCTACCTTACCTGATTGAAACAAATCTCTAGGTGCTGACACATAGAGCAAGACTTTTCTGTCCTTGAGTCCAAGTCCAGGTTTCAGTTGGCAGCGAGGGAAGGCATGTAGTACCCTTAACCACCCTGACTTTTTCCTCTGTCTCACTTCTCCCCTGATCAGGGTGTAATAAAGTAAGTGAGGAACTTGTGCTTCGAATCCTTCCTCAGCTGCCATCTCCTTGCAGAAACCTGAGAAACCATTTTCCCTCTGAGCATATTTCTTGCTAAACCTCTGATTCTTGCTGAATTTCAGGCAAAGAAAGAAACCCTTAATCATTATCTTAGGCTCCTGCTTGCCATCTGAATCTCCTTTAGCTCATCTCCTTATCTGGCTTGTGCCTGAAAAATTCTAGAGACAGGAAATTTACCAGCCTCATCATTAGTGAACATAAATCTGGTCTATAAGACATGAGACTTCCTGTGTTATTGGACTGAGTGCTTGGCTTACCTGAAAGGTGACCAATTTTAAAGATCCTTATTTTGTTGACCGTATAATTTATCATCCCTACCAGGAAATGTTAAGAGTGCATTATGCTGGACAATGGTTTTCAATGGAACTCTTGGACAGACCAGGATGGATGGTCTGTCTTGGCTTCTATGATTCTATGGCCACCAGAAAATGATGCACATTAAATTCCATGGGTAAGATGGATCCTATCTTTGGTGACTAACCTAGACTTTTGTTCTACCCCTCTCCAAAAGTGTTGACTATCAATCTCTTTGGAATAATCTCTAGTTCTCTAACCAACTCTCCTGTGAGAATTTTAGTCCCCAAGTCATTTCAGAAGGAAAGCATGTACATATGGCCATCATTTCCAGCAATTTCCCCCATAGGCACTTCATATTCCTAACTACTGTCTTGATCAGATGCATATTTAATGTGTTGTGATGGAGACACAGATGCAAACTGCTCAACTCTTCCTGGAGCTTTCGAAAGCTGCCAGGTCCCAGTACAGTTGCTGTGAGAACTACCGGACTGCCTGAAGCTACACTCTCCATGTCCCCATAAGACCCGGACTCTCAGGAAACTTACTCACAAGGTAATAGAGGGAGAGGCAGGGCTTATTAAGTTTCCTTCCGCAGGCTGTTTGATTGCAATTCTGCCCTGGGCAAAGGCTCATTTGCATAGTTGATTTATAGCTTTCATTTGAATATTGCAGTTACTTCGCATAAACCATTACTTTGGTCTCTCTGGGTTTTTATTTTAACAACCCACTCAGTACCACATGGAACTCATCGAGGCCAGGAGCCTCTAATATGAGGAAATTTACCTTCCTCTTTCCACTGGGACAGAGAGAGGGATATGGAAAGTGGAGAACGAACCTGATAAGTTTCAGAAAGCCTTGATTCCTGCTCCAGGGCAGGCTGACAGTGACACAGAAATCAAGCACATTCAGCTTCCAGAATATTTGATAATTGTGGTTTGTTTTTCATTGTTGCTTCTCTAAGGGGTGCTTTCTCTAAAAGGTGCCTCTTCTCTTCTTTCCTTTGTTTGCAAAAAACTAGCTAAACTTTACTGAATGCCTACTTTATGCTAAGCACTGAACTATTAATATTTAAGCAGATTACAGTAGTGCAAAAGGCCTTGTCCCAGCCCTCAGGGAGGTTATATTATTGTCAGACAAATTGGTAGCAAGAAAGAATCACACATTTAATTAATTGTGCTAATGTGCTGTGTTCTAAGTGGCTTCAGTCATGTCCGACTCGGTGTGATCCCATGAAGTGTAGCTCTCTAGGCTCCTCCGTCCATGGGATTCTCCAGCAAAGATACTGGAGTGGGTTGCCATTTCCTCCCCCAGGGGATCTTCCCAACCCAGGGATCGAACCCCTTTCTCTTATGTCTCCTGCATTGGCAGGTGGGTTCTTTACTACTAGTGCCACTTGGGAAGCCCTTTATGCCAAATATCTACTTTTCTGACCATCAGAAGTCAGAGCCTCAGGATATTGTGTGAACCATTTCGCTGTGCCACACAGCCTGTGGGATGTTCCCTGAGCCCTCGGCAGTGAAAGTGAGGAGTCTTAACCACTGGACCACGACGGAATTCCCAGAGAGGTTTTGATCTTACATCTCTTCTGTGTGCTGTACATGAAAGTTGTTGTTCTTTTTAACATAAGAAATTATGCTTGATTTCTCCCTTGTCTATTGTGTGACCCTGTTCAATTTATAGCCCTTCCTTAGAACTTTGGAGAAATACCTCCTCAATAGGTGGCTATGCCCTCTTCAAATGTGCTACCCTTTTGTTTTGTTGCTCAGTCTTTTCAATCTTCCTGTTTACATTGGTAGGAATTCCCAGAGAGGTTTTGATCTTACATCTCTTCTGTGTGCTGTACATGAAAGTTGTTGTTCTTTTTAACATAAGAAATTATGCTTGATTTCTCCCTTGTCTATTGTGTGACCCTGTTCGATTTATAGCCCTTCCTTAGAACTTTGGAGAAATACCTCCTCAATAGGTGGCTATGCCCTCTTCAAATGTACTACCCTTTTGTTTTGTTGCTCAGTCTTTTCAATCTTCCTGTTTACATTGGTTTGGAATTTTTACTGAAGATTTTGCTGAACATCTACTTTTTAGATGATTAAAAAAATGTGGTATGATGGCTATTTGTATGACTTGTGACAGATCAATACTATCGCCAAGAATGGTGGGGAAAGTTGTATAATAATTTTAAATATAATCTATTTGAAAGCAAGGGGGATATTCTAAGTTTATAAGAACTTGAGAGGTCAAGATGTAGGAATGTGAATCCGACCGTTTTTCCCCCCGAGGCACTTCCCTTTTTTTTTTTTTAAAGCTGGAGAGAGAGTGCTTAAGGAACTTAGCACAGTGCGGTTGAAAAGCGAAGTGGCACTTTCAGCAAGCTAACACTACAAAAGAGATTTTAAAAAATGAAGTTCAGGATCCTTTAAAGGTGAGACATCATGCAAAGTACCTAAGGTCTTTAGGTATGACTCTTCAAGAACTGCAAGGTAAAAGTAGCATTTAATTAAAGCTAAGACCGAGCCTTACAAAGTCTAAAACTGAGCCTCACAGAAGTGTTAATAAATTCTCCTCACTGGATTGAGGTATTATGCCACTGCTCCAGTTACCTGCCAAGAGGAAAGGGTGAATATATTAGTAATTAGTGAACTGGAAGGAATTTTAATAGAAAGCATCCATTCAGGCCATAGAAAAATAAAACATAGAGCATAAAAATGGAATAAGAGACATAAAAGGCATGGCATATAGTCTAACATTCATATAACTCAATGCACCAAAGGGCAGAAAGGAGAAAATGGGGGCAGAAGCAATATTTAAAGAGAGAATGAAGGACAGTTGGTCAAAGCTGATGAAAGACAGCAAGCCATAGTTTCAAGAATCTCTACTAACCCCAAACAGGATAAAATTAAGTGAAACCACATGCTATAGATACAAGACAGTGAAAAACCACTGAAGACAAAAGGAAACAGAAAATATTAAATGTGATCAGGAAAAAGCCACCTTTTAAAATCAACAAAGCATGACAGCAAATGTCTCTACTGAAACGATGAAAGTTCCCCCAAAACAGAATAATATTTTCATCCTGATCATCCATCTGAAACATATTCTTCTGCTGTGTTATTTTCCCCTAAATTTCTATATTTTTATGTACATAGAAGGTTAGTTATGTTTCTTGACCCTGGAGAACTGGCTCTCTGTGGGGGATGTCCTATGTGTCCCAGCTGTATACTCCCCAGGAAGGTTCTGGTCTGCTTTTGTGGACATGGTTCATTGGGCTGCCCAGATTGTAATTTCCTTCCTGCTGATGTAGGCCCCCTGGTTGGGAAGGCTGGTCTAGAGGCTTGTGTGGGCTTCCTGGTGGGAGTGGCCAGTGCCACCCACTGGTGGGTGGAGCAGCATCTTGGCTGTCTGGTGAGCAGGGCGAGCCAGGTCAAGGGGCATTTCTAGAGGGCTATCTCAGAGAGTCTTTGGGCAGGCTGTCTGCTGCTGGGTGAGGCTGTGTTCCTGTCTTGTTGGTTGTTTGGCTCAAGGTGTCCCAGCATCGGAGCCTCCTGGAAAGCTCATGCTGATGATTGTCACCCAGGATCTCTGCTGCCAGCGTCATTGTCCCCACAGTGAGCCACAACCACCCCACCCTTCCAGAAGACTCTCCAAGACCAGCAGGTAGGTCTGGCCCAGGCTTCCCTGAGGTCAGTGCTTTTGCCGTTGGGTCTCAGTGCACCCGAGACCTTGCGTGCACCCTCCAAGAGTAGTCTGTTTCCCCCAGTCCAGAGGAGCTCCTGCGCTCAAGCCCCATTGGCTTCAGAACCACATGTTCTGGGGGCTCCTCTTCCTGGTATCAGACCCTCCAGGTTGGGGAACCTGCTGTGAGGTTCAGAACTCTCCTGAGGGAGAACGTCTGTGATATAATTGTTTTCCAGTATGTGGGTTGCCCACCTGGGGGGCATGAGGTTTGATTATATCCCGCGTGCATTCCTCTTACCATCTCATTGGGTTTCTTCTTTATGTCTTTGGATGTAGAATATACTTTTGGTAGGTTCTGGTCTTTTTATTGATGGTTGTTCAGCAATTACTTGTGCTTTTGGTGTGCTCATGAGAAGTGAGCTCAAGCCTTCTATGTTGCCATCTCGTCCCTATGGAAGAACCCGAGGTTAAGCAAGGGACAGGCAGAGTGCATGTGAAACCGCACAACTCAGATTGGGACTTGAACTCACTGTCTTTTAATTGAAATCACACACCTGAATCCAGGGCTTAATGACGCTCAAGTTCTGCATGTCTTGTTTCAGAAAGAAGTCTGTAAGAAAAAAAGTAACGGGTAAGAAGTGGATTTATTTAGAGTGATATACTCTCCAGAGAGAGAATGCAGTCTGTCTCAAAAGACGAGAGGGCTTGGAGAGGAACACACTCCACAGACAGAGTGTGGGCTATCTCAAAATTTGAGAGTCCTCAAAATACAGGGTGGTTAGTTTTTGTGGGCTGGGTAATTTCATAGGTTAATGAGGGGGAGGATTATTCCAACTACCTTGGGGAAGGGGAGGGGATTTCCAGGAATTGGGCTACTGCCTGCTTCTTGGCCTTTTTTGATTAGCCTTGAAGCTATCATGGCACCTGTGAGTGTTTTTTAGCATGCTGATGTATTACAATGAGTGTATAATAAGGCTTGGACTTCCCAGGTGACGTTGGTGGTTAAGAGTCTGCCTGCCAATACAGGAGATGTAAGAGAGGCAGGTTTGAGCCCTGGGTCAGGAAGATTCCCTGGAATAGGAAATGGAACCCCACTCCAGTATTTTTGCCTGGAAAATTCCATGGTCAGTGGAGTCTGGTGGGCTACAGTCCTTGGAACCACAGAGAGTCAGACATGACTGAGCAACTGAGTAGAGAGCATAATGAGGCTGAAATTAAGGTCTACTGGAAGGTGAATCTTCAACCATTTTGAGCCTAATTCATTCTAACCCATTATGTCATATCCTCAATGCTATGCCAGCCTTTTAAAGGTTGTGCCCTGCCCGCTTCTGTCCTGTTTCACAGGTAATCTGGATATTTCTTGACACTCTACAGACTGTTCTCAATGGATTTCCCTTCTTTGCTGGGCTGCCAAGCTTCCAGGCAGCTGGGAAGCTGGGAAATGAAAGGCAGAGGATGAGAGCAAGGGGCAGGAGCAACATGTGGGTGTGTGCCCATGGCGGGGGTAGTGGAGGAGCCTGCCTGAGGGACCCAGTGATGCTGGGCAAGCTAAATCTAAATTAAAGGTCAAGGTTCTTGCTCTACACAAAGGAATAACATACAAAGAGGAAGGCATAGCGAGAAACAAGCAGTTTATTAAAAGGCCAAAGCTTCTCAAAGTATGCACTCAGAGAAGAGCGAAAATCTTCCTCAGTGAGACACATCCTTAAGTGTTTTCTGAGCCCCTTTTTATTTCAATTCCTTGATTGGGTGGGGCTTTCCTAGATTAGGGGTAGAATATTCCTTAATTGGAAGTTGGAGGCAGGACTATGATTTCACCTGTTTATATCAGCCTCTTTCTTGAGCATTGGGCTCCTGAAACCATAGTACATGTGCTCTAAAAGCATTTTCCCTTCAGTTTTCCTCTGCTAGTCAAGCACCAGATGCAGAAGTTGTTTAGCAGTCATTAGCAGCCTGGTTGTTTCTATTGCCATGTTCTGCCATGCTCTGCCACGCTCTGCAGGGGTTGAATGGGTATGGTTCCCCTTCTCAGGTGTCACCAAGGTTAAGCAGAGTTTAATTTATGTTCTTGTTGCTGATGCCTTTTCTCCATGTTCATGATGTCATTAAGTGCAAAACAGGGAGGTGGCTTTGCCTTTTGCATAATGTCTGTGTATGAGGAAGTGGTCTTCGGGTCTGTGCTGTGTTTCCTGCCTCATTGAGACCAGAATCATATTTTCATAGTGCAAATGCCAGCCTTTTAAAGGTTGTGCCCTGCCCGCTTCTGTCCTGTTTCACAGGTAATCTGGATATTTCTTGACACTCTACAGACTGTTCTCAATGGATTTCCCTTCTTTGCTGGGCTGCCAAGCTTCCAGGCAGCTGGGAAGCTGGGAAATGAAAGGCAGAGGCTGAGAGCAAGGGGCAGGAGCAACATGTGGGTGTGTGCCCGTGGCGGGGGTAGTGGGGGAGCCTGCCTGAGGGACCCAGTGATGCTGGGCAAGCTAAATCTAAATTAAAGGTCAAGGTTCTTGCTCTACACAAAGGAATAACATGCAAAGAGGAAGGCATAGCGAGAAACAAGCAGTTTATTAAAAGGCCAAAGCTTCTCAAAGTATGCACTCAGAGAAGAGTGAGAATCTTTCTCAGTGAGACACATCCTTAAGTGTTTTCTGAGCCCCTTTTTATTTCAATTCCTTGATTGGGTGGGGCTTTCCTAGATTAGGGGTAGAATATTCCTTAATTGGAAGTTGGAGGCAGGACTATGATTTCACCTGTTTATATCAGCCTCTTTCTTGAGCATTGGACTCCTGAAACCATAGTACATGTGCTCTAAAAGCATTTTCCCTTCAGTTTTCCTCTGCTAGTCAAGCACCAGAGGCAGAAGTTGTTTAGCAGTCATTAGCAGCCTGGTTGTTTCTATTGCCATGTTCTGCCATGCTCTGCCACGCTCTGCAGGGGTTGAATGGGTATGGTTCCCCTTCTCAGGTGTCACCAAGGTTAAGCAGAGTTTAATTTATGTTCTTGTTGCTGATGCCTTTTCTCCATGTTCATGATGTCATTAAGTGCAAAACAGGGAGGTGGCTTTGCCTTTTGCATAATGTCTGTGTATGAGGAAGTGGTCTTCGGGTCTGTGCTGTGTTTCCTGCCTCATTGAGACCAGAATCATATTTTCATAGTGCAAAGGGATAATAACTGCCAACCTAAAATTCAACAACCAGAAAAAATATCCCTAAAAATGATTGGTGACGTGAAATTTGCTCAGTTGTGTCCGACTCTCTGTGACCCCATGGACTATACTGTCCATGGAATTTTCCAGGCCAGAGTACTGGAGTGGGTAGCCTTTCCTTTCTCCAGGGGAATCTTCCCAACCCAGGGATTGAACCCAGGTCTCCCACACTGCAGGCAGATTCTTTACCAGTTGAGCCACAAAGGAAGGCTGAGAATACTGGAGTGGGTAGCCTATCCCTTCTCCAGTGGATCTTCCCAACCCAGGAATTGACTTGGGGTCTCCTGCTTTGTAGGTAGATTCTTTACCAACTGAACTATCAGGAAAGTAGTAAATCTAAATAAATGCTAACTCTACAATACAATAATAATGTATTGTGGAAATTTTACACACACACACATATATCATCACCTAGAAAGTGGTAAAAACAACTTGGAATGTAAGAAGCCAAGGATGATTAGCATATGTAGACAGGATAACCACTCAAAATTGACAAAAGAAGGCACAACTAAGAAGCTAATAAAGAAGGGAAACAGAATTATGAATAAATGCTTGGTTAATCCTAAAGAATGTAAGATAGGAAAGGAAAAGAGACTTGAAATAGATGGGAAAGATAAATATAAACCCAGAAATATCAGTAATTATATACTTACTATATCATGTAACTTTTTTTTTTTTAGAGTTTGCATGTAAGTGAGATTATCATACAGTGTTTGGCTTTCTGTGACTTATTCACTTAGCATAAAGCTGTTANTTTTGTGTGAAAAATTGTGGGGATATTCTGAGACTCTAGATATCTTCCTCCAGAAAGAATTTGATTTTCCTCAGGCTGATAGTTAACATGAGAGCAGATCATCTTAATTCAGTCAGAAATTAGGTAGATTCAAAGCCGGAGTTTGTGAGGGCCACTCTGTTTTCAGTTTTGATGATAGGTTTTCCTGGCTTGTTGACGGCTGCCTTCTTGCTGTGTCCTCACAGGGTGGAGAAAGAACTTGGCTATCTCTTGCTCTTCATATAATGGCACCAGTTCTATCAGAACACATCTTATAAACTCACTTAACCTTAATTAGCTCTTTAAGGGCTGCATCTTCAGTACAGTAACATGGGGTTTATAGCTTCAACACATGAATTTGAGGGGCATGCATTTTAGTTCACAGCATCAGTCTATTTCATGATTTAGCAATTCCACTGCTCAAACATACCCAGTGTAAATGTGGCATCAAAAGACACAGTTAAGTATGTTCATAGCAGTAGTTTGCATACTAACCACAAGCTGGAAGCAACCAAATAGTGCATAAATGATAGTGTCATTAAATTATTTGTGGTCACTTACTACAACGGTATTCTATACAGTAATTAGAATGAGTGAACTACTGTTACATGCAACAATATAGATGAATCTCACAAATAAAAATTTCAACAAAGGAAGCCAGACCCAAAATAAAACATATTGTATAATTCTACTTAAACAATGTTCAAAAACAGAAAAGGAAAAAAAAAAAAAACCTATGGTGGTAGAAGTCAGGATTATTATCATTGTGTTTCAGAACTTTAAACATATTATTCAATTGAATCATGATTTCCATAGCTGCCATTACATAGGCAGATGTAAAATTTAATACTCCTTTGGAGGTACTGCTTTTTTCTTTTTCTACTTTTAAGATTTTCTCTTTGTCTTTCCCTTTTGTCAATCTGACTTTGATGTTCCTCACATGTCCATTATGCTCGGAAATCCCTTAGTTTGTCCTAAGTTTGTTTTTCTTTCTTCCAGTTAAATAATTCTATCTTCTCTGGATCCAACATTCTATTAAATCTAGTCCTTAAGTTTCCAATGTTATGTCCATTTGGTTCTTTTTTAAAAATAGATTCCAAATCTCTGATGAAATTATCTACCTTTCTGTTTTTTTTCTTTATACTTTTGAACATATTAATGATAGATATTTTGAAGTCTTTGCTCACACCCAGAATGTACATCTCATTATTTGTGGGTTTCTTCTGTGAATCTACTTACTTTCTAAAATGTATTTGTAACCCACCAATCAATACTCACAGCACTTTCATAGTCATTTGTGGATATGTGCAAAGGGGTGAAAGGTTTGATTCATTTGGTGCACATACTCCCAGATAAAGTAGAAAAAGGTAGTGCTCTGACATTTTGTTTTACCTCTCATACTGTCAGCAAGTGTACTTTTTGCGATTTACTTGCTACATTTTTTGTGCTTTCGTGCTTTATTTGGTGACTTAGCAGTTTCAAATGATCCTTAAGCATAATGTTAAGGTGCTGTCTAGTGTTTCTAAGTGAGAAAAGGCTGTGATGTACCTCATGGAAGAAATGGGTGTGTGATACAAACTTTGGGCGTAATATGTGTAGTACGTGATGGAAAAGCAGCTAAAATTGTGTATTCAAAAGTATAGTGAAAAAGTATAGCACTGTTGTGATGCTGGATACCAATGAAATTTACCATCATGTTACTCAGGGTGTAACAATTAGTTAGATATGAAACACTTAGCTACTCCTGGTGGCTCACACCTTTCAAAAGGCAATGTGGCATGGAAAATGTCAAATTTGTAGGCAAAGAAGTTCTGTAGATAAGGAGGCTGTGAAAGAATTTTAAGATACTTGCTAAATCTTTACAGGAAAAGAGTTCCATGGAAGAGAAAGTTTTCAATGCCCCTGAGGCTGGCTCATTTTATAAGGCTATTGTCCATCAAACCTATATAATATAAAAGGCATTTTTGATTGAAAAAAATTACCAGAGGCTGGAAAAGAACCTATCTGCATGTTTTCACTTGGGGAAACAGTTCAGTATTCAGCACTCAGTGTTCATGGCAGCTTTATAGAACAGAACTATGACAAATAATGAGAATTGAGTGTTTCTGAATCATCTATGGATCTACTTTAATAATTTAATTTTCCCCTTGGCTATTGGTTACATGATTCTATTTCTACACGCATAGTAAATTTTAATTAAATATCTTAAAATACTGTAGAGTTCCAGATGATGTTATCTTTGACAGGTAAATTTACCCTTTACTTTGATAGGCAAATAGTGGGGTACTAATCTACTTAATCTAGCCACAGGTCACATAGTTCAAGCTGGGTTAGTTTTGTTAAGTCTAAGCCTCAGTCTGATTTCTTCCTATCAGGAATTTCAATAAAGAGCCCAACTTTCCTTCAACTCATTAATGACAGAAAATTTTACTCCACTCTCTGGATATTTGTGGCTTGGCATTTTGATTCCCCACCTTTGAAGCTTCAGACTTGGCATGTCTACTGACAAGTAGACTGGTAGTAGTTTGAGGCTCCTTGAGTCTTAGATTTTGTCACTTTGGCCTAAAAATAACCACCAAGACTTATTCTGCTAGTTTATCTGTCCTACAGAAATGTCCCTCTGCCAGACACCAAGGCTGGATTTGCAGACTGTAAAGGTGTCCAGATCAGTAAGTACCCTGGGAAAAGCATTTGCAGATAATCAGTGTTGCCTCACCAAGGCTGCCATAACAAAGTTATGATTTAAATAAGAAATCTTTTTTTTTGTCACAATTCTGGAGGCTGTGAGTCTCAGATGAATGTGTCAACTGTGTTGGTTTCTGAGGCCACTCTCCTTGGCACATAAATGGCTGCTTTCTCACTGTTTTTTTCACATGGTCTTCCCTCTGAATGTGGCTGTCTCCTAATTTCCTCTACTTATCAAAACACCAGTTACAGGACTTCCCTGGTGGTCCAGTGGTTAAGATTCCACACTTCCAATGCAGGGGGCATGGGTTCAATCCCTGGTTGGGGAATGAAGATCCCCCTTGCTTCAAGGTATAGCCAAAAAAAAAAAAAAAAAAAATTAAACACCAGTCACATTCAATTAGGGCTCTCCAAATGACCTTATTTTAACTTAATTACCTATTTAAAGACCCCATATCCAAATACAGTTGCATTCCATGGTACTAGAAGCTAGGACTTGAACATATGAATCTTAGGAGGGTGTAATTCAGCCCATGGGGTTTCCCAGATTACACTAGTGGTAAAGAATCCATTTGCCAATGCAGGAGATGAAAGAGACACATGTTCGATCACTGTGTAGGGAAGATCCCATGGAGCAGGAAGTGGCAACTCAGTCCAGTATTCTTGCCTGAACAATCCCATGGACAGAGGAGCCTGACGGGCTATAGTCCACGGGATCGCTAAGAATCAGACATGACTGAATGGCTAAAAGTAATTCAGCCCATAACAAGGACTTTCTACTCCTGTCCATATTTCTCAGGACCCTTCCTCAGAGTGACTTTTTGTCTCCCAGGCAGTGACAGGCTATGGGAAATTCCACTGTGCTTTTGTGATTTGAGGCTCAGGTCTTTCTACCCCTGCTTTACACATCTTCAAAATTCAGTAGATGTTGCAATAGAAAAATGTCATGTGTTTGAAGCCTCTCAGTGTTCCATTTCTGTCACTCCCTCCTCGTATGTCTGCCCCAAGCTCTGTCCCAACGATTTTCCTGCACTTGTCTCAGAATCAGCCCTCTTCCTGGGCCAAATCCAAGTTATCAGCCTCTGGCCAATACCCAGAATTTGCCAGTGTCCTCAGGGGCAGCTGCAAAACCTAGCTCACCTCTGCCATGTATGACCCCCTTTGAATTTCACTCCTTCCAGTCTTCATGGTTTCTACAGTTCTTGAATGCTTTTAAATGTATGACTTTTGCAACAAGGATGTCAAGTTTTTCTTATTTTCCATGGAATTGAGGGCTTGTATGAATTCTATCCTTTCAGGAGGCCAGGTCAGTGGTTACCTTCAAGGAAGGGATGGGTTGTGACTGGTAGGTGATATGGGAAGAGTGTCTGACTTAACATGGGAGTTGGCGTTACAGAGGTATATTCACTGTAATAAAATTAATTGAGTTGTGTAATTAGGGAAATATGTTCTGGCATGTATATTTCCAATAAAATCTGTATTTAAAAAGAAAAAACACACAGAAGGAAAAATTAAGTTATATGCTGAATAGGTTTTCAAAACTCCATGGAAAAGTAGCTTTAAAGGCGAGTGAAGTAAAAGTGTTAGTCACTCAGTTGGCCCCATGGACCTTTGTGATCCAATGAACCAACAGGCTCCTCTGTCCAAGGAATTCCCCAGGCAAGAATACTGGAGTGGGTCACCATTTCTTTCTCCAGGGGATCTTCCCGATCCAGGGATTGAACCAGGTCTCCTGCATTGCAGGCAGATTCTTTACTATCTGAGCCACCAGGGAAGCCCTTTCCTATAGGAGTTCTGGTTCTTCCCTCTGTTTCTCTGCCCTTGGATTCCTACTCTTTCTCTATATTTTCCTATGACGAACTCCACTCCTCTTAATGTTAGGTGATTGTCAACCTAGTTGCCTCTGTCTTATGGTAGAATTTCCAAAGTCTGAGTCTTTGTGTCAGGAATGGTTTGCTAGAAACTTGATGGGACGAATGGAGATACCTGCTGGTGTTCCAGGATGGAATGGGAAGGGAAGGAAACTGGAGGCTCTTGGTCTCACAGGCTTGGGTGGGGACAGATGATATCTTCCTTCATGCTTTTCCTGGCAGGCTGGTTTGCAGATACATCTGCTTAATTAACTTCATACGTGTGTATCTACATGCATACCTACATCTCTGAGGACATTATTAGTTTTAAAGGACCGTACATTCTCAAGTTATGAAAGGAAAAAAGTAAATTCTGCAGTACCTGTAAGCTGCACAGCCCTTCCTTTCCCACAGTTGGTAAATCCAATTATGATTCTTTCCTCCTTTCAGATGGAAATCTTTGGGGCCTGCTGGAATAAGAAAGATAACAAATGCCTCTGCATAAAGGCTTTCTCAGTTACACAAAGAAACACTGTGAAATGTCTAATCCAGAAAGAGATCCTCCACCCCAGTCTCCATTTGGGGAAGGTTTAGTTATGACTATGGTAAGTTCAGCACAAGTGAAATATGAAGTGTCATGGGAGTGAATTAAAAAGGGTACATTGGAACTTCCCTGGTGGTCCACTGGTTATATCTCCATGATAATCTTGAGCTACTTCTTTTTCACACAAAGTGGATAACCAAGTACATTGATCACAGTTTCACCCAATGAGAAAATTTTCACTCTTTGCTGTCTTTCAAGGCCACTCCTGTAGTGTAGCGATTGCCCATTATTAGCATGCACCCACATACCAAGTTGACCCACTTAGAATCTAAGCTTGGGTTTTTGATGGCTATATAGGACCTTCTCTGTGGCCATATGTGCAACTAGAGGTGCCACTTATCCAACTGTGGTAGGTAATGTGGGACTTTGGACTACCTGCCTATGAAGATTATTTGTACATCTTGTCCTGCTTTGTCTGATTTAGTCCAAGATGTATCACTCCTGTATTATGGATGGGCTGCTGCTACATCTATCTGACTCTATGACTTATTGGACTAGCATAATATAGCTCATAGTGGACAGTTATGGACACATGGTCATTTGGTGCCCCATGGTCAAGCATTACATCTCTCCCAGGACCCAGTAATGTGAGAAGAGAGGTTTATCCTAATGTGTATGTTTCCCTGCAGATGTCATGTTCCCAAACCCCAGGGCCTGGATTGTGGTTTTCCCACTGGTGCCTTCTATAAAATCCACACAGCATGTTTCTCCATACACAGATACATCTGAATCCCACAGGGTCTGTGGGGCCATATGGTTCAATTTAGAGGGATATTTTTATTGCAGCCTGGATGTGCTGCATGGCTCTTTCCTGTTCTGGTTCTACTTAAAGTTGGCATTTTTCCATGTCATCCAGTCTACAGGTGGAGCAGTATGCTTGGGTGTGGAATGTACTTTCTCCAGAAATCAAAGAGGTCTACCAGATGCTGTGCTTCTTTGTGGTAGGGGATGCAAGATGAAACCATTTGTCTTTTACTTTGATGGGAAATCCTCAAGTATACTCTTGATCATTAGACAACCTAGAAACCTTCCTAAAATGGAAGATCCTTGAAATTCATAGGGTTTTATCTCCCATCATCCCTAGCAATATATCTTGCCACCACCTCTAGCATTGCTGTCACTTCTTGCTTATACTGCTCAGTCTGTGATGCCATCAATGTAATAGATCAATGTAACATTCAGTAGGATATCCCCAGAGTCCAGCTCTCCTTGGACTGTATTATTACAGAGGGAAAGGGTTAATATAGGCTTAGGGCAAAACTCTGAGTATCATTATCTATTTTTCCTCTTCATATAGTCCCTCTGACTCTCACTCTCAACCCTTAGCTATTTGTTGGTCACTTTTATTTTCTCTTCATCTCCAGCAGGACATCAGTACAATTCTTGGTGTCTAGCCAACTTTGCTGTCCTTGTAGGTATTGGTTCCCCCATATCTTTGAAGTGCCTGGATTATGACACTAGTCAGAGCATCCTTCTCCATCAAGACATGTTCTCAGGTTGCCATGGTGAATCTTCAACAACTGGGCCACCAGCTTCTGCCAGGGACTATTCCCATCTCATGTCCCATTCAGGATGAGATCCTCATTATCAGCTAGGTAGTGATCATGCCCATCCCCTAGCTTTCTCAGATCACTTTCTCAGATCACCACCTGGGTCAGTTCAGGCTCTCTGAGGATAAGATACCAAGATGGGATTAGATGTACACAAGAGATTTGTTGGAAGAAACAGCTGGGAAGGATAAAGAAGGAAGGAGCAGCAGAAAGCAGGCTGAGACTTCAGACCTCAATCTGAGAAAGAAGAGGGTAGAAAAGAGGATTAAGGCAAAAGAGTGCCAACAGTGAGGTTCTGGCCAGACCATTAAGGAGTCCCTGAGCAAGGTTACCCATTGAAAGAATCCTTGCCTAAGGCCATGTAGCCAATGATCTTGAAGCTGAGATTTGAACTTGGAGTTTCCAGAGTGCATGCTGTTCTCATTCCACCATAGCTGCTGTAAGTTTTCTTCCACTAGTGGGAACTGGCAGTCCCCTGCCATTTGGGGCTTCTTTCTGTAGTTTCCATAGAACTATACTCAAGGTTGTATCTTTTTTCAAGTTCACAACTCCTGGATCTTGTGTCTTAACCAGCTCTCATCACATATTCAGCTCTTCTGCTCCCCTTCTGTCAGGAGACTATAGAAAACTTGGAAAAAGAAGATTGAGGAACATGTTGTTTAGTTGCTAAGTCCTATCCAACTCTTTGTAACCCCATGGATTGCAGGATGCCAGTCTCCACTGTCCTGCACAATCTCCCTGAGTTTTCTCAAATTCATGTCCATTGAGTCGGTGATGCTATCTAATCACTTCATTCTCTGCTGCCCCCTTCTTCTGACTTCAATCTTCCACAACATCAGGTTCTTTTCCAATGAATTATTTCTTCTTACCAGGTGACTGAAGTATTGGAGCTTCAGCATCTGTCCTTCCAATGAATATTCAGGGTTGATTTCCTTTAGGATTGACTGATTTGATCTCCTTGCTGTCCAAGGGATTCTTAAGAGTCTTCCCAGCACCACAATTCAAAAGCATCAGTTCTTTGGTGCGTGGCCTTCTTTATGGTCCAACTCTCATGTCCATACATAACTTCCATAGCTTTGACTATATGGACCTTTGTAAGTGGGGTGGTGCCTTTGCTTTTTACTATGCTTTCTAGGTTTGTCATAGCTTTTCTTCAAAGGAACAAGTGTCTTTTAATTTGATGGCTGCAGTCAGCATCTGCAGTGATTTTGGAGCCCAAGAAAATAAAATCTGTCACTGCTTCTACTGGTTAACTCAGGTTAGTGATGAGGACTGAGTTGACAGTGAGGAGAGGAAATATATAGAATTTGAGTTTTATACTGTCTGTTCCAACACATACATATCCATCCTATAGACATCTCTGCTCATTCTTGACTCAGTGAAGGTAAGATCTGGCAGCATCATGGATGAAGATATGTGGTTCTGTAGGGTCTATTGGTTCTAAATCTCTCAGCAACCCTGTAGGATAGAAATGATGTTTTCAGAATCACAAAAATAGTTACAGATGGGGAAACTGAAGTACATATTAGACATGTTAAGTAACTTGCCATTCACTGAACTACTCAATCAGTGGTTCTAAAATCTAGCACAAATGAAATAACATTAAAAAAAGTGACCCCAGCACCTACTGTCATAAGCCTCCCGCCCTTCATATCCCCTTCACTTCATGGAATGCAGTCTCATAGAGAGGAAAAAGCATAAGTTCTGGAGTTAGGCAGACTTGGGCTCTAAATGTCAATTTCCACACGTGTCCTTAGGCAAGTTAAGTTCTCAGGACATCAGTAAAGAGAGTTAATTATACCTAATCTATAAAATTGACAAAATATTTAAATTTGTGCATGCAAAGGGAGCTAGTACAGGCCGAACGGGTGGTAGGGCTTAACAAATATTCATTCCCATCTTTGGAAGAGTTTGTTACGATGGGCAGATCTACCTCCTCCATCTCCCAAGGCAGTGAGCAGCTTATCAACAGAGACCTTCCCTGACTCGATTTCACAAAGTGCTTCTGTGAATCTGAGAAATTGAGGCCTCACTGTGTGTCAGCTTTGAGGTTGCCACTTGGAAGGCAGTTGTATCAGTGTGTGTTAGTTGGTCAATTGTGTCTGACTCTTTGCAGCCCCATGACCTGCAGCCTGCCAGGTTTCTCTGTCCATGGCATTCTCCAGTCAAGGATATTGGAGTGGGTTGCCATTCCCTTATTTGGGGGATCTTCCCAACCCATGGATCAAATCCGGGTCTCTTGCATTGCAGGCAAATTCTTTACCAGTTTAGCCACCAGGGAAGGAAGCCCCAGTTGTATCAATAGCAATTAATTTCCTCTGTCCTGGCTTTCCTGTTAATTATTCTGAAAATGTACTCACATTCTGTCAACAAGACTGTTTTCAAAATCGCAGCCATTTTTCATCCTTAATAAAGTCTCTTTCCTGTCTTCTCCCTTCTGTTTCACAGTTGCAAACATCTTAATCCTGGAGAAAGGGCTTAACAAATATTCATTCCCATCTTTGGAAGAGTTTGTTACGATGGGCAGATCTACCTCCTCCATCTCCCAAGGCAGTGAGCAGCTTATCAACAGAGACCTTCCCTGACCCGATTTCACAAAGTGCTTCTGTGAATCTGAGAAATTGAGGCCTCACTGTGTGTCAGCTTTGAGGTTGCCACTTGGAAGGCAGTTGTATCAGTATGTGTTAGTTGGTCAACTGTGTCCGACTCTTTGCAGCCCCATGACCTGCAGCCTGCCAGGTTTCTCTGTCCATGGCATTCTCCAGTCAAGGATATTGGAGTGGGTTGCCATTCCCTTATTTGGGGGATCTTCCCAACCCATGGATCAAATCCGGGTCTCTTGCATTGCAGGCAAATTCTTTACCAGTTTAGCCACCAGGGAAGGAAGCCCCAGTTGTATCAATAGCAATTAATTTCCTCTGTCCTGGCTTTCCTGTTAATTATTCTGAAAATGTACTCACATTCTGTCAACAAGACTGTTTTCAAAATCGCAGCCATTTTTCATCCTTAATAAAGTCTCTTTCCTGTCTTCTCCCTTCTGTTTCACAGTTGCAAACATCTTAATCCTGGAGAACTGAAAGAATATGGGAAAATAGAAAGTAGAGAGCTCCTTTCTCCATGCTCTCTAATCATAATTACTTCCTAAGTGAGGAACTGGCCTCTCCTCTATCCTCGGATGCAGCGACTTCACGTTCTCTGCCTTGTTTCCTCTTCACACCAAGGTTCCACGTCAGCTGTGATGAGGTTATTCCTACTTTAGATGTGAGGAAGTTGATGCTGAGAGAGGTTACTTACTTTGGCCAAGATCACACAGTAAAATTTTACCAGAGTTAATATTTGAGCCCAATCTGTCTGATATAAAAATCCAGCCTAAAATCACACAACACACACAGGTCTGCACCCACAATTTACTACATCCTGTGTCTGATCTATTGTGTGGAGAAGA